GACACAACCCATACCTGTTCTGGAGATCCCCCAGGCCAAAACAGTTCTACAGTCTCCCTGTAAGACTGCCAAGAGACTGGCAAACCAAAAGCAGCTACTCTTAAGGAGTTTGTGTGTGATCTGTTATGGGAACCTGGGCACCCTGGTTTCTCTAGGGGTCCAGCATCCTCCTCCCAGCCTGTCCTGACATCACTCTCACCACCAGCCTTGGTGCTGATGGCTCTTGCACAGGTCTTGTTTGCTGGCCCTTTCTACCAGTGCTCATGTGCTTTCTGCCCTACCCCTGATGGCCAGCACCAGTCTGTCATCCAACTCTGTGGCTGGCACTGGAGCTTCCAGCCCTCCAGGGCCCAAGGACCCTGCAGGATCAGACCCTTTCTCTCCAGCTACCCGTGGGACAACCATGTTCTGGGAGTACCACTCTCAGACCAAAGTCCAGCTCTTATCAGAGCACTCCTCAGCCCCTTTCAGCCCATACCTGAGTCAAAGGAATCTTATAGGACCCCTCTGCTGCTATAGTGCCCCAGTCACTCAGTGACACATGACACATTGAGTCAGTGCCTGTCTCCTTCAGCTCAGTGTCAGGTCACTGGAACTGAGAGCTTTCTCCTCACAGTTTGCATGCTTCTGCCACCCCTTGCATGTGTTGGGCTCCTGGGTACCTCTTTGGTCTTGAGAAAACTCACTGCAGCCCTGGGATGTTCGGGAGGCTATCACATATTTTTCCATTGGATTGAAAGTGTGGCATGAATGCTGCAATGAGGAGTCAGAATGTAACCTGGTTTGCTTGCATGGACTTTGGTAGTTGATCCACCTCACCCTCTGTGTTGCAAAACACAGAAGCTGTGACATCAAAGACATCCTGTGGCATCAAAGAGATCGCTTAAGTAGGTATTGGCCAAGGCACCGACATCCATTACCATCTCTGCAGGTAGCTGAGGATGTCCAAAGAGCATCCCATCTTTTTCCCAGGAAGGATCTGGAGGCCCCGTGAAAGAGAACACACTTCTCTACAGCTAATGCTGGCCAGATACAAGATGCTAGCTGCCAAATATGCCCGTCAATCATATAGACTAAATCATTGGCTTGTTGAGTTTTTTTTAGCTGCAATGCAGCCCACAGCTTCAGTCAGCATCCACCAGTGTCGTTCCTGACTTTCTAATCCAGGTTTCTCTGGGATACTCTACTATCTACTGAGGATTGTCATCCAAAGGTCACTTGCCTTTTAACACTGTAAATAAACAAACAGGCTGCAGATTTGTCCAAAGACTCCATAAAGCTATGATTTCCCAAACATGTTTCCATGGGATTCTGGGAAGCAGGCCACCACTAGACTCTCCTCAGTTCCACATCAGAGACCCGTGGTGACTCGGGCACTTCCCATTCAGCAAATTCTCTAAAAAAAAGGATTTCAAAGGAGCCTCCCAATGGATGTCAGGAAGCCAGACATGCTGCTTCCTCCCATCACTTCTGCAGAGACATGTTTTGGTTTTGCCCAGATCTACTGGAAGTTGTGAACTTTCTGTTTTCTAATCCTCTTCTCCTCAACCCTTGTGGGGATTTGTCATCTCAGATAAATGAGTCCCTCTCCTAAGACCACTCTGACATGTGGTGTACCCCGGCCCTGGGAAGATAACGTGCTGTTTCCAGGCATTGCAGAGGGACAGAAGTCTGGAGCCACTGCTTCCTCCGACAAGAAAGGAAGCACATTTGGTGCCCACCCTGGACTTAAGGCTGCGCAATTTCATAATCAGAATGGATCTCAGGTTGGCGCCTTGGTAGGAGCAATCATGGCCTTTTGTGGTGGAAGATTGACTCTTTCCACATGGTGCATCTCACACAAAGCCTGCCAAGCCATGGGCACCATCTTTTTCTGGTTCAGGGTTCTGTTGCTTGGCCCTTCCATAGCCACAAGGTGTTAACTTGGGAACTGTCACCTCTGTCCCAATCACCCAGAGAAGGGCAGCTCCACTCCTTCCCCTCTGGAGCTGAGCTTAGATCTCTTTTAGCTCCCTGAGCTTCCCAGTGAGTGCCAAAAGTCTTGCAGCTCATCCCCTGGGAACCTCACTTCCTGTCCAGGCTCCTGCCCAGTGCTTTTGCTCACACCACGTCCCCTGCCAGACCTTCCCTTCTGTCTCCCTGGTTTCTGTTTGCAGTCCCTCGTCAAAAGTTATCAGTTACCTCTTATTAGTAAGTAACTTCTTTTTGCTTGTTGTGTTTGCTTTAGCTCTGGGCAAACAGCAATCAGGACCTTTTACACAAGGTCCTTTTGGTGGGTGCTCTATTTCAGGAACAACCAGACCAGCTGATCTCAAGCTGCACAGCTGATAATCCAGCCATCAAGTCATAGCACAAGTTAAAGTCTGCAAATCAATTATAGGGCACCTCAAAATGTCAGAATAAAGCAGAAGATTGTGACTAACTTCAGACTTGATGCTGCAAGGAGTAAAATATGAAAATGGCATCACTCAGAGAGAAACGTGGTATCACAGAAATCTGGAAACAATGGAAAATTCCTTTCGCAAGACTAACTCAATGATTCTGCAGAATAGTGTTTTCTATTCCTACTTCTCTTGGTAAGTGGAGTTTGCACCCCCAAGACATGTCAAAACAGACAAGAAAAGCAATGTATGAAGGCTGTGTGCGAGGTGACTGCTGCGGGTAAGTCTGGAACCCGGATGAAGCTACCTAATGCCTAACACAGACAAGGGAGTATTTAGTGAGCTGCGCTTCTTCATCCCTGTCCTGTGCTACTCCTGTCATAGCCTGCCTCTCCTTCCTCATGGCTCTGCTGGCGTTCCACACGACCCTGTCAGCCCCTCTGCCTGGGGTAGCCATGCAGGCAGTTCTGAGAAGATGCCCCGGTGCTGCTCTTGCTCCGGTCACTGTTATTTCTGTGGCGGGTCCTGTTCTGGGAGATGACGAAAATGCCATTTGCAGGAGTCAGCATTTCAAATGGGTCGTTTGAACGTCACAGGTGTCTTTGCTAAAGATAGCTGGTGCTGAGTAAAATGGTACCTCCAAACCCTGCATTTCATAACATGCTCACTCAGCATAATAACCCCTCAGCCCAAGTGCCCCCCAGTGCCAGGCGGCCCCTGGCACTTCTCTGGGCTCTCTTTGGGACCACCCCCTGGGAAGCAGGATGGGAATAAGTGTCTGTCCTTTGCTGTTTCCTAGAAGAAAACATTTCCTAGACAGGGATGCGATGAAGGGTGGTTTTGGGGACTAGAAGGGAATAGCACCAGGGTGCTGAGGCTTAGAGTGCAGAGTGGATGTGGATGGAAGGGGAGAGCAGTGAGTTCAATGTGTCCCCTGGGTGAAGCTGGGAGAGGGGGAGCTCATGGTGCTGGGTGGTGGAGCCGTACGTGCCTCCCCACCATGGTTCCATCTCCCTTCTCTCTCTCGTCTTCTTTCACCCACACTCTCACACCACTCTCGCACTGCTGATTCAGGGGAAAGAAAGGTTGGTGCTTTCTGCTTGGACCGGGCACCACAAACTGTTTTTCTTGAAGAGGAGGAAAAAACACCTCCTGCTAACCGTCACAAGTTCTCCCCCATCTTCTCTCCTCTCTTCCTCTCTCACATGATCCCATGGGCTGTGTAACACAGAGGGGCACAAAGGACCACTTCAGAGCAGTTCCCTGGGGATGTGGAGGCACACAAGGTTGCACCAGGTTCCTGTGCACCAATACAACTCTTCAGGAGGCTGAAGAGCTGTGTGCGATAAAAGAGATGAGAGCTGTCACCACAGCAGGGGCTGCTGAAATGAGGCGTACCACTTGCTCTCTTTTATCCTCCACCTTCACCACCAGCTGAGGAAAACTAGAGAGTGAGCAAGGATCCTTCCACAGTAAAGAAGTGCCTGCTCTGAGTCACGTCCCTTCCCTCACCATCAGCCCACCCTCATGGCATGAGCTGCCAAGGGGCTTGGCTGTCTGACACCCATCATGAAGGGCTGATTAAGTCTGAAAGAGCCAGAGTCAGTGGGTTGTTGGAAAGTGTGAGCCACAACAGTGGTGGGTTCTCTGAGGCAAAAGGGGCCCCAAGCTGAGACACATGGATGGAAATGTATTGCCCTATGCAAAGCTTATCAGCTACATGGGAGCTGGGATGAGCACCCTCAGCACACAAACTCAGGTGGGTTTTCCCCAGTGCTGCTGGAGAAGGAGGGTCCCTTCCTCACCCCCCTCGCAGTGCCAGTGTGCAGACCCTCTTCTCATTGCTGGCTGCTTCTCCTGGATGCTCCTCTCTACCTCCTTGGACCACCTCAGCTTTGTCCTATATTACTCCAGGGCTCTGGATTGATGGGTCACATGTGGCCTGGTTGGAGGTCACCACAGACTCTTTCCTCATGCTGCCTGTGAAACGGGCACATTTGAAGGATTAAATGGAGGGAGAGGGAGGAAAAAACCCAAACACAACAAAAATAAAAGAACAGCAGAAAAAAGACCAACGTGTTCTCAAAAGCCCTGAAACAATTAGTGAGAAGCTGAAAGAGGCGGAAAGATCAAACCAAAAAAGGTAAGAGATGAAAGAAAAACATGAAGGGCACTTGCTGGGAAGTGTCTTCTACACTTTTTCCACTGTCTATGTAGAAGCGAAACCTGTAAGAAAAACAACAGCGACCCAAAGAATTTCCACTCAAAGATGCTTAGAGCAGTGTCTCTGGTCCCTCCCTCCTCTCTCACATTGGCTTCAGCTCTGCCTGCACGTGCTGCAGACTTTATACTGGTTTCTTGGCCATGACGCATCCTCTTAGTGATATGGGGAAATCAGCTGCCCACCTGCAATATAAGGGCATCTAGGGAAATGCTTTGATCAGAAAAAGAGGGGCAGCAGAAGAGCAAGCACGTCCAGCTGCCCCTCTTTGTTCATCCTCCCACTCCAACATCTTCTTTGCTTGTGCCTCATTTTTGCTGATCTCTTAAAGATTTGGACCTGACCAAGCACAGACCTGAGTGGGAAGACACAGCCTCTTGCCTCTGCTGGATGCCACCATGAGGCCTGTAACCCTGGTGCTGTTCCTCACCTTCACTCTGCTGGCTTTCAATGGTAAGAGGGGCTGAATATATTAGGGAGGGCAGAGTAGCTCAGTAAGCTGAATCTAGCTGTTACTTGGTCTCTGACAGGTCTGGAAGGGAGATTGTGCCCTTCTAACTCCACTGAAGATGGGCAGATATTGCTCTCTGCTCTGTGAGTCCCACCCTTTGCTCAGCCCTCCATCTCATTACAGCTGGCCACATCCTACCAGGAGCAGCAGAGGTGAGAAGCAGAAAGCAGAAAGTATGGGCCAGAGTGGGCAGTTCAGCTGTGTTGCCTTGCTACCTGAGCCGCAAAAAGATGGGGAAGAGCTGGAAGCATCTGCCTGACAAGACATCTGTGCTGTGGAAGCGGCTTGGGAGAAGGTACTCCAGGGCCAGGACAGATCCATGTCCTTGTGGGGGGACTGGGGAGGGTGTGAGAGACTTTGAGCCCCTATTCTCCTTCCCCACATTCCCTCCTTCCTGCTTCCCGCTCCTTGATCTCGTTGGTGCCTCCAGCACGAGCCACTCACTTGTCCCACCCGCAGCACCCACCAGGAGCCACATATAGTGCTGGAGGTGGAGGGCTCGGGGCTCCGGAAGACGGCGCTGCCCATGAAGCCCCGAGTGTCAGTCCAGGACTCTGCCTTACGCAATGGCAACTTCTCCCTGCACATCAGCCCTGTGCGGAGCGAGGACGCCGGGCTCTATGAGGCGCAGGTGGTGTACAACACCAAGGTGCAGAGCTGCCACGTGGACCTGGGGGTAATCACAGGTAGGAGGAAATGGAAAACCTAGGGATCACTGGGTTTAGGACTGGGGAGGTTGTAAGGGTGGGACGGAGAGGAGATGCCATGTCTACCAGAGCAGGTTAGAGCACAGGCAGATGCATCCTGGAAGCACACAGCTTCCTGATGTCTGCTCTCAGCTCTGGAGAAAGGGCTGCTTGAGGGACAGAGCTAGGACAGGAGGGACAGTCCCCTTGTGATCCCAGCTTCCCCCTCTGCCACTTACTTTTCCTTACAGTAACCCTCAGTCCGCCCAGCCCTGTGGTAGAAAACGAGCCGCTCTTGTTGCGGTGCAACTCCAGCCACCATGCAAGCCTTGTGGAGACGTGCTGGTTCCACAATGGGCACCTGGCCCCCACCTCTGGGACCTTCTGCTCCTCGCATGGGGCTCTCTCCATCCTCCGGCCAGCCATGAGTGATGCGGGCTCCTGGCGCTGCCAGCTCAGATACTCCGATAACGAGATCATTTCTGCTATGTACAACCTGCAAATTCTAGGTGAGCTCAGCCTCTGCATTGCTACTGCTGCATCCCAAAGTTGCTCAGCCTGATATTACTGGCCAAACCTAGTGGCCTCAGCTTCTCAGCTCCCACCCACCCTGTCCTCACTTCCTTGTGGAGCTTTTTCCAGCTACCACCCCACATTGTCCTCTCTCTGGCTCAGGTTTTGATGGCCCAGCCAACCCCGTGGTCTATGCTGCAGCTGGTTCTGCAGCTGATTTACCATGCACCCTGAGCTACCTTCCTAGCGCCTTTGGGATCAATGTGGTGACAGCCCACTGGAGCCACCTTGCAGGAGGACACATGCAAGACTGGGGCATCGCCCACAATTCGAGCAGCAGAAGCTTCCCCCTTCATCTCCCTGCGGTGGGGCCAGGTGATGCAGGACAGTACCGCTGTGCTGTCTCTGTGGGCAGCAGGACGATCAGCAGGGACGTGACCCTGGCAGTGGTTACAGGTGAGGGGAGAGACAGGGAGGTGCATAACTCCTCATGGGTCCCACACTGCTTGCAGATAAACCTCCTCACACATCAGTGCATGAGCATGGGTTGCTTCTGCTTATAAGTTCCCACCCAAGGTTGGGAAACAAGTTCTCTGTTCAGGGCATTGCACTACACTGGACTCTGCTGAAAGCAGGGGTTTTCCTGGAGAACTTGATTCTTCTTCTAGAGACTGAGGAAGACAAAGAAAATAAATTAGAGGGGGTAAAAAAGGAGGTGTTTAGCAGAAGAAGGAGGGATAACAAAGAGTTGTGGACCTGCGTGTAGTCATTCCTGAGGGTATTGTTTTTTCCTTTGCTGCAGTCACTCCAAACATCCAAGGACCGGTTTCTGAGGGGTGTCACTTGCTGCTCACCTGCAGCCTCACACACCCTCAGGGACATGAACGTTTCCAGTGGAAGCAGCTTGATTCACCCCCCACTAACAGCAAGCTGGCTGTGGCCACCTCCCATAACCTGGGGGGCTACAGATCCCAGATGGGCCCTACCTTGGAAATACGCCATGTGTCACAAAAGGATTCGGGCACATGGGAATGCAGTGTATATGGCCCAGAAGGCAGACTGGGAGCAGTGGAGTATGGTCTGCAGATCACAGGTACTGTCCCCCATGGATCCATAGCCAAATCCCTTCTTCTCACCCTATTCAATTCCCTACTGCCCTTTCCTGTCTCAGCCTCACCCTGTTCATCTCCCCTTTGACAGCTTGGATCCTATCTTGCTGTCATCTTGTCTTAGCTCTCATCAGTTCCTCCTGTTGCTGCTCCCAGCACCCTGCACCCTTTTCCTGTTTGCTTGTATTTGTGCAGTTCCAGCCTTGCCCCAGTGCAAAATCAACCTTACCCTTCTTCCTAACAGTGGTTCCTCCTTACAGGTGCCCAGGTCTCCAGCCCTCCCACCATCTTCAGTGGGCAGGTTACTTTTGGGCTCACACTCACCTTCTTTCTCCTGCTTACAGTCTGTGTTCTGGCTCTGGCCCTACAAAAAAGGGTAAGTATCCATCACCTCATTTCTGTTAGTTTTCCTGTACATCAGCCCTTATTTGACCTTACCCTGGGTGTCCTAGAGACAGCAGTGAAATGTCCCAGGGGCACAGCAGCCAGAGGAAGAATGGGAATTGGGCAGCCTTTGGGGGTGTCATGGACATGAAGCAAAAGCTGTATCCTGGGCACCAGCAGGTCTGACTAACCAAAGCATTCATATGGCGGATGCCAGACGCTTCAGAGGAGGAGTAAAACCCCCTAGGGGGCAATCACAGACCAGCCTTGAAAAGCTTCTTGTTAATTCTCTCAGAGATCAAGCCATGTTGTAATAGGGGAGGGTTAATTTCCAGGCTTTTGTAGGTGTCCTTTCTTATTCCTTAACTGGATGCTTTGATGTAACAGTCTCCTGTTCCATATAAATGCCTGCTGGTCCCCTGATGCTGATCTCTATGCTGGTCTGTTGTGGCTGGCTCAGACTTCCAGCAACTAACTGCCTTAATTTGCTCAGCTTGCTCCAGTATCTTGTCTCCTGAAAACTCTGCCTTGCCTTTATGATCCCAAAGACCAGACCAGGATTGACCCCTCCCCAGCATGCCACTGGAAAAAAAACATGCAGACAAGACAAGACTGTTTCTCAGCAGTTTTCATACTGTTTCTCTGCAAATCCTTTACATGTCAGATTCTTCCTTTAGGGTTTCCCTTTGCTGGCAAACGACACTTTTTGGGAGTAGCTGTGATGTAGTTGCCCTCTACTTAGCTTCTTGGAAAGGGCCTACAATGAAAATCCCCTTTCAGTGCAGAAGGGACCAGGGGCTCAGATCTCAGGTTGGGAGAGCTTGCCCTGGTGAAAGAACTGGGTGCCCTGAACCTGCCTTGAGCTGAAGATGATGGATGTGACAGCACTGATAAAAACCCTTAGCAAATCCCAGGGGCTGGAGGCTGAAGGCAGCATCAGAACAGAAACAAAATTGACATTTTATAGAAACCGCTGTGGGTATCACTAGGACCCCAGACTGGACCTTTGTCACTGGTTCTTCATCACTGGTCCTTAATCAGCACTGGTGGTAAAGGGTAATCTGAGGCAGAAATCAACACTTTCAGGGTGGCTTTCGAGACTATGCAAGTGCAGGACAAGATGATCAGAACCACCCTTTCTGGCCCAAAACCTTGGAAAGGAACCTCTTGACTGTATAAGAGTAAAGCCTCAGCTAGCAGCAAATAGCTGGACCTGGGTGTCACTAAACAGGATATTTACCACCTCAAAGCATTTGTATATGCCCTTACAGCCTGCTTTGCCAAGTAAGTAAAGCTCTTCTGTTGCAGCACAAATTCTCCATCCACAAGTGGTCCTCATGCCCTTCTCTGCACAGTCTCCCCAGAGGGCTCATCCCAAAGGATGAGAGGTCAGATTAGGTGTCTTGAGCACAGATTTTAGCCCTTCTCTTGTTTTCTCTCTGCGGGCATTCTGTGAGATTACATTTACTCTTCTTGCATGGGTTGGACACTGGCTGCTCACTGGCATCCCTTGATGGGTTGCATTCCATTCACCTGGTCATTCAGGTTGCTGCTCCATTCTCCTATGGGTCTTGGATGACATTTTCTTCCTCTTTCTTCCGATTGAGGCTCCTTAGCTTTATCAGCTATATAATTCATTAGCACTTCCACAGTCTCTGTGCTATTAATGACTGGTCCCACGCCTATCTTTGAAGACTTGTGCTAATAATTTCTCTACAGCCTGACAGAAATCTGTCAGCAAAATCCCAGTCCCTTCCTCTTGGCTGACATCACACCTACCATGCCATTCTTCCACTAATCTCATCTTTCTTGCTGTATTAATTCTCTGTGTGTCACCATATACTTTTCCGTTATCAGGAGCCCTGGGATCTACCTCTTTTCCATTGTCTAGAAAGTCACTTGTTAAAGCAAGATGTGAAAGTGATTCTGTCTTTCATTTATTCTTACCTCGTTTTGCAGGAAACTTCATGCCTTTAACTATTTTCCCTGAAAAGGTGATGTGAAATCAGGCATACCATTGAACCTGGCAATGGCCTGACCATTTCCCACATCATTTTTTACTCTCTCTTGAGCATGTCCTGTCTTTGTTATTCCTTATGCCTATGACACCACAAAGGATAGTGTTGAGCCAGCCTTTCCCAGAAGAAACTGCATGTCTCGGAGAGTGGGACTGGGGCTCTTCTGTGGCTGTAGGAGGGAACAGGAACCTTGTGGCTGCAAGCAGTAGGACCACGTCTTCCATGGCAGCCCAGACTTGTGCCGTTCAGTCTCCCTCCCATGCTTGATATTGCCTCTTTCTTCCCTTTCAGGCACGGTCTCCTGCCTTCCCAGCGCTGGATGGGATGGTTGCAATCACTGTGCCGAGGAAGAAGGAGGCAGAGGAAAACCAGAAAGAGAAGATCCAGCAAACTGAGTGCTGATGGGAGCAGGACCCAGTCTGCATGGGATGATGACGCTCTGTGTGCCATGCTGCAGAGAGATAGGCACTATGCAGACCTCTCAGGAGGGTCTAGGGATGGTGTGAACATAGCAGGAGGCTGTGGGAGATCTGTACCTGCAAAAGGGCTGGAAGCTGCATACCAGGGCAAAACAAGACTCACCTCTGCAGTAGGTTGGCAAGCAGCACAGATGCTTTGGAGCAATCGGGACTATTTGAGTCAGTAACTATTGCCTACTTCAGTGACACCTCTCCCTCCCACCCCTTGCCCCTCCTTCATGGCCTCTCTCACAGCCTTTCAAAGCTGGGACACTTGGATGAAGGAGATGGCTGGAACCCAGCTTCCCTGCAGCCCAATGGCGTTTTCTCCACCCCCCCCCCCCCCCCCCCCCCCTAGCCATAGGGAATTCACCCACACTGCCCTGCTCTTGCGCTCATTCAGTGGCAAAGGGGACCCCACAGAGGATTGCACATGTTGCACATTTTGAGCGCTTTATTTTATTAGAAACTCATTTTAGAAACTAAAATAAACCTGTCTGACAAAAACACCCGCTGTCCCCTGTGTGTGCCTGGGGGGATCGCACCTGGTGATGGTGCTGAGTGTACCTCTTGCCTGTGGCAAGCAGCTTCTAAGGACTTTCCTGCCTGCTCTTTCTCTTTCAGTTCTGTGTTACTGAAGTTGCCCATTCATTTCTGACATTTTCACAGTGGGAAAGGGGAAATTAAATGCCACTAGAGAAGAAAGAATCACAAGTTAAATCTCCTTTTTTTCTGTGTTTCAGAGTCTTTTGTTTTTTCTCCTGTCTGCCTGCCCCTGTTGATTCATTTATTCCTTTAGCCCTCACATTTTCCTGATAGATCTTTGATTCATGTTATGGCTCTCTGTCACTCTCCTCCTGCTAAAGGGTGTACTTAGAAAGCATGAGTCCACCAGGCCCCATCTCTCAAGACCCCCAATATGTTTAGGTTTCATGTAGTTAGAGAATGTTCTTCACCTCCTCTCCAAACAGCCATGGAGGACAGCAGTACTGTGCTTGACCAGTCACTGCATGCCACCCCAGAGAAAGCTTCACTAGTAAAGAGAGTCACGTGTAGTTTCTCCCATATGGGTCCTTAAGCTGTGGCTGCTTAGGGAGATGGTGGTACAAAAGCTGATCTCTCAGTGTTTAGGATGGAAGATTCTCTTGACTTGCGGAGAGGGCTTCACTACCAAGCCAGTTTTTCATTATTTCAGCAGGCACATGAAGAGGCTTTCTTGCTGTGTGGCTCTCACCTTTCTCCCCCAAGAGCTGGGGGAGACAGGTACTCAGGTCCTTCAGGCACAGATAGTGAATGCACTCAGGGATCTTCATACTGCAAGTAGTGGAGCAGCACCCAAGAAGTCACAATTAGCCTATTCTGTGGAGCATGTTTGGACTCCACAGTGATTTAGCTGTTCAGCTATCCATGTCTTTTACTGAAAAGGATACCCATTTCTCCACCGAGTCCTAGAGAAATGCAGCTGAGGTGTGAGGTAGACTTGTCTGCTTCAACTGTCCCATGCAATCACAGACAGACACTGAAATAGGAACAACATAAGGCAGCACAGTCCAGCCTGGTACCAGGCATCTTCCTAGGCAAATGATAATGCTGCAGGTGTTTTCAGGTTGGGGTAATCTGTCAAGCTCAGTGTCCTCTCTCTGCCAGATGCTTTGGAGGTAGAGGAAAGGTGGGTTAGGCCCAGCGGGGCTAAGGGGCAATAAAGCATTCAGCAGAACTACATCATATTCTCCCCGTGCCTGGCAGCAGTTTACTCTCTCTTCTCATATACAATGGGACGCTCTCTCTCTCCTCCTGTAGGTAATAGTGTTAGCATTGCTTGTTACCAGCTCGAATGTTCTCATTGCTCAGATGTGTGCCTGGTCTGTCTTTAAACTTTGCTGTTTTCTTGTAGTCTCTGACTTCCTCTGGCAATCAGTCCTCAGGTCAGCTTACTCACTGTGTGAAAATGGTTTCCCTTTATCAGTTTTGAATTCAAAGCTTTCTGCTTTCATCATCTGTTTTCTCCTGTCACAAAGGCTGGAAGAAGGACTCCTAATCTATCATCTCTTAGCCAGTCACTATTCTACTGCCTTTTATCACATCCCTTTTTCTATCTTCCTCGTCCCCTCCTGACTCACTGCTGTTCAGGTACAAATCGCAGATTTTGGGGACTTCCTCCCTTACAGTTTGCTCAGGTCCATCTCTATGCATGGTTAACTCTCTTTGGATCCTTTGCTCTGGAAGAGGAGGCAGCAGCCCAGTGGGAAAGGAGTGCTGCCTTACATGGAGGCACGGTGCCTTCTCCACGCCATTTCCATCCTGCCCTTCACGGCTCCCAGTGTCTTGTCTGCTTTTCTGACTGTTGTTCCCCACTCAGTGATGCTGAGCTTCTACCGAGCTGTTCACTGTGCTCTTGGTGAGACATCTGTCATGGTGCCTGGAGCTCGTCCCCTCACCTGGTACAGTTACAGTAGGCCAAAGCCCAGAAATATTTATGCAGTTTACATTTTCCCTCCAGCTACATGATTTTGGGAGCAGTGATGCTGAATTTCATTTGCCTTCCTGTTGCTGATGAGCACAGCTTGCTTACATGTCTCCAAAGCTCGTCATTATCTCATCTTCTAACAAATTCAAATAGCTTCATGTTGTCTATATACTTGGTCTTCTTGCTGCTTACCTCCTTGAACACTAGATTCACATATCTTAATTCAGGCTCTTTTGAGCCCCACTGCTGACAACTGGCAGTTTAATCCTCCTCTTTGCTTCCAGTGTCAGGTGCACAGCAGAGCTGTTCTACTCATCCCTGTGCAGGGTCAATCTGTTGCCCCTGTTAACCCTGAAGCTTCTAGGGGACAAGGAGAAGGTGTGAGCTGTTCAAGATGGCCAAGCACTGGATTATTTACTGCAAGTCTTACTTCATGAATCTGATCACACTTGGAGCCAGTTTGACCAGAGGAATTTACGCAGTTATGTTTGGTTACTACAAGAGTTTGTTCGGTTACTACAAGAGTAAGTTTGGCTACTACACTGCAAGACCTGGGTGTGCAGTAGGTACCTCCACAATCATTATAACATTGGTAGCAGTTCCTGAAAATACTTTCTTTGTGATAGAGAGAACAATGGTGTCTGAGGTGTAAAATATGTGTGACACCATCTATGAGGCCTCAGATATGGTTGAGTATAAAGACAAATTCCACCAGCTCTGTCTGAAGTATGACATCTGAAGCTTCACAGATGTTGAGACTTGCTTTCGTAACCAGCAGAGCAATTCATGCAGATGAGCATCACTGACAAAATACAGGGCATCAACAAAAGCCACAGGTACGGTCACTGAGCTGCTTGACAGACCTCAAGGAAATCTGAATCAGGATGGCACAAGGTAAATCAGTAGAGTTGAAGTGGAAGGACCAAGAGTCTGTACAATAAAGCAAACAAATCTGGAAGTCTGCCCCAAGTGGAGTCAATAAGTAGGAACAGCAAATAAAGAGCAAATAAAGCAAATGTCATGCGAAGGAAAGAGACGGGATGCTTTTCCACACGGATACAGCTACAGGTGCAAAAATCATAGATGAATATTGTCAATGGACCAGAATGTGGTGGGTTGACCCTGTCTGGAAGCCAGGTGCCCACAAGCCACTCTATCACTCTTCTCCTCAGCTGCACAGGGGAGAGAAAACGGAATGAAGGCCTCATGGGCTGAGATAAGGACAGGGAGATACACTCACCAGTTGCCATCATGGGCAAAACAGACTTCATCTGAAGAAAATATATGTAGTTTATTACCAAACGAATCAGAGTTGGATAATGAGAAATCAAACCAAGTCCTAAAGCACCATCACCCCACCCCTCCCTGCTTCCCAGGCTAACTTCACTCCTGATTTTCTCTTCCACCACAGCGGTGTGGGGGTACAGGGAATGGGGGTTGTGGTCAGTTCATCACAGATTGTCTCTGCCCCTTTCACTCCTCAGGGGAAGACTCCTCACACTCTTCCCCTGCTCCAGCATGGGGTCCCTCCTGCAGGAGACAGTTCTCTATGAACTTCTACTTGAGTCCTTCCCATGGGCTTCAGTTCTACATGAACTGCTCCAGTGTGAGTCCTTCCACGGGGTGCATCCTTCAGGAAGAGGCTGCTCCAGCGTGGGTCCCTTTCATGGGTTGCATCCTTCAGGAACAGGCTTTAATCTTTAATCCCAAATTAATCTTTTGTTGTAAAAATCCCCCAATACTATCAGAAAGAAAGTAATCAGAACTAGGTCCAGCTGTTCTGCATCCAAGATGTCTGAGGGATTTCAAGTGAGGGGCCAAGGAAGTGCTAGTGAATAGTGTAATCTGACGAAGAAGCAACTAGAAACAACTCATCTGTTGTGGTCTTGGCATGTTCTGCACAGCCTTTAAGAAATAATAAGAAATTGGAACCAAATCTGGAATTCCCTAGGCCACGGAGGCACTCTGATTTCTTACCTGCCTGGCCAACTAGTAGGAAGATTATCAGCACCAATTCTGCCAAGAAACCTCTCATGCCTTACTACTCTACTTGGATTTCTTCAACACTTCAGTGCAGCAATGAAGAAACACAGAATATCTGGGGTTCTGCATTTTTGCCTTCCAAAGGTTCTCTCAAATCAAGCTCCTCATGGGAATGCTGGTTTAGGACCTACATTTTTTGCCACCCACTAAGATTCAAGGCATCTGGGACAGTTATTACATAGCTGTTGACTCCACCATGTTCAAGAGCTTCTATTCCTAGGTTTCCACCTTGCTGGCCTGTCAGTTCAATGCAACTGGCTCCAAAAGCTGTGTGTAGTCTGACATGGATGTCATTCCACCTAATGGGATCAGTTTCAGAGGGTCTTGCAGTAAGACAACATAGGACACTCTCAGTGTGCAGGAGAAACAGTAGGAGGTGAAAGCACCAGGGCAGCTTTAGGAAGGACTTGTTCATTCTCGTTCTTACAGAGGTT